TTTTTTTTATCAACTCTTTGTCAGTTTCCAAGATGTCCATTAGTTTAGCCAATGTTTGCCCTTTGCTGAAAAAGGTAGCTACCAGATGGCTTGAAAACTGTCACGAAGGAGTTGACACGTTGGAAGGCAAAGTGGTTGCTAGAAAGCTTTTTGGTGATCGGGTCGTTGCTTTCCCTTTCAAGTTGCTACAGTACGTTGATCCTTTGAAAGAAGAGGAGATCGCTAGAATAATGGTTAGTTGAATTACGTTCTTTCTCTACATCAAGCGCTCAAAGGTACTATTGTAGGTATTTTATGCCTTATCGCATCATATGAGCTTTGTTTTACGAACCAAAGATGATGGCGAGGAGTATGTGCGATATTTGATGAAAATACCAGCTAAACGAAGAGATAATTTTGCTGTACTTCACGCTCATTCTCTTCCTGGAGAATTAAAAAGGTACAAGTATACGAATAGTATTAGTAAAATGCTGCAACATGTTTCAGATACTCTGGAAAGGAGCTAAGCCTTCGTCTCTTTTTTCATCGTTGTGTTTGTGAACATCTGACTTCGTTGTACAAAGATCCGGAGAAAGTGGCTGTTCTCTACCAAATCCTGCGTAAACTTTTACCCACTTTCCAGGAGCTTGTGGAGTTGACCGAGAGGTTAGATCTGTATCTCTATTGGAGTTATTTAGGGCTGCTTTCCATATCCTTTACCCTTTTTTAAGTCAACCAATAATGAGTAGTTTAGTTTTATCGCGGACAAATTGAAGAGTGACGAAGAGTCTGCTTGCGATGAATTTAGTGTCCGACAACTCTGCCTTATGATGAGGCTCGTAGATCACAGCAGCGATGAGGCAAAGTGCGTTTTTACGGATTTTCAATCTGCTACAATTTCTTACTTGAACCGGATTCATTACAGAGAATTATGGCGAAGACTGCTGTACCAGATGGCTGCAAATCCTGATGTTTATCCAAGCAGAGACCTGGTAGACTTTGCCGTGCGGGAAGTAATAGAGCAGCTGGATCGACCGACTGGCTCTTACCAAGTATAACTGGTGTTGTAGACAGCTTCTTAGTATGCGTCAGTCCTTTTGTTTAGAAGACTATAGTTTGGGCAGCAGATACAGCTGCGAAGTTTCTCCAGTGCGAGGTTGCAGAAGAAAACTCTCAAAGAGAAGAGGAGCAGAGAATTTCTGCTCTTACAAGCACATGTTCCATAGCTGCTGCCACTCGTGCTGCTACCATAATACACGCGGTCCTGGCTGAAGGAATCATTGATCAGTTTCCAGATGAATATGATTATCTGTTTATAATTATGGTAAGTCGACTATTCATGCTTCTTTGTCAGAATTTTGTTTCTAGACTGGTCGACTTTCAAATGCTGATTCCATCGAATGTCGATCTTTATGTGTACGAATGATTGGACTAGCAAGTTGCCTTGATGAGCACATAATGAAGGACCATGTCTCGACAGTGCATCGTTTTTTGAAAGATGATGTCTGCGAAGTGAAGGTGAAGTAATTTTCCTTTTCGAGATGATGTGTATTGTCCGAGTCTTTCTTGGCCTCGTCAGACACTCTTGAAGGCAGCGTCCACCCAAAAAATCCATTTTGAGATTTTGTGCTTATCCGGGCATATTCGCTACGC